GATGGACCAGAGAAAGCCACCATGTTTGTCGTGGTAAAGGACCTGACAGATGACGTGCTGATTGGGCTTGACACGTTGAAGGAGCTGAAGGCATCTATTCAGTGTGGTGAGATGCAGGTCACGGTGAAGAGAGTTCCAGAAGCCGTCCTGGATCAGTATCCGTCGCTGTTTGCTAGAGATGGTGAGGATATCGGGCGGGTGAAGAACTTCCAGTATAAGGTGCGCACGAGTGGTCCGCCAGTCGTATCAAAGCCATACAAGATTCCCCTGCACTACCAGGAAGAGGTAGACCGCCAGCTTTCTGAAATGGAAGCACGAGGAACCATCTGCAAGAGCTCGTCGGAGTACGCGAGCCCAGTGGTGATCGTGAAGAAAGGAGGGAACGAGCTGAGAATCTGCTGCGACTACTCGAAGTTGAACAAGCAGGTCTCGAGGGAGGCATACCCAATGCCAGCCTTGGGTGACGTCCTGTTGAAGCTGAGGGGTGGTAAGATTTTTAGTCACCTGGACGTAAAGAGTGCCTACCACAACGTGCCTCTAGATCCGGAGACGAAGCACAAGACGGCGTTTGCAGTTGGAGGCAGACTGTGGGAGTGGAACGTTCTTCCATTTGGCCTCTGCACGAGCGGACAGGTGTTCCAGCGTATTCTGGATGAGATCTTGGAGGGTCTAGACTTCGTAACGGCGTATGTAGATGACATCTGCATCTTCACAAAGGAAGACGACGAAGGACTGCACATGAAGCAGGTCCACGAAGTGTTGAAGCGGTTGGAAGCCGCTGGGCTCAAGCTTCGCCCAGACAAGTGCGAGTTCGCGCAGAAGAGCATCGTCTGCTTGGGGCACAGAGTGGCCCACGATGCAGTGAGTGCACTGGAAGACAAGACGGGGAACATCAAGAGCTGGCCAGAGCCTGAAAACGTGACAGAGCTGCGTCAGTTCCTGGGCCTGTGTGGTTTTTATCGCATGTTTGTCCCGAACTTCAGTGCGATCGCGGCACCGCTCACTGACCTGCTGCGGAAAGAGAGAACCTTCAAGTGGGAGAAGGCTCAGAGGGTGGCGTTCAACAGACTGAAGGAAGAGCTGTCGTCACCTCGGACCTTGGCGGAAGCCGACCCAAACCAAAGGTTCGTCCTGACATGTGACGCAAGTGAACTGGGATGCGGAGCAGTTCTCGAGAACGGGGGAAGGCCGGTCGCGTTCGCGTCAAAGCGATGGACGCCATCAGAAGCCAAGAAAAGCACGACGGAGCGAGAGCTAAACGGTGTGATCTTCGGCATCAAGAAGTTCGCCTACTTCTTGAAGGGCGCCAAGTTTCAGGTGGTCACGGATCACCAGCCCCTGACGTACATCAGAGACAAGCGCAATGCTGAAGAGCACCTGAAGGAGAAGTTGCTTTTGCTGGGAGACTACGACTTCGAGATAGAGTATCGCCCTGGGAAGGACATCCCACATGCAGACGCACTGTCGCGGAAGCCGGCGCGACGGGTCGCGGTGACGGAAACGGACGTGGCAGAAGCCGTGGAAACCGACCAGCGTTTGAAGGTCGTTCGGGACGGTTTGCTGACTGGAGGTCGGTGGAACACAGACGATCCGGAGTTGAAGTTCTACCAGAAGGACAGAGGAAATCTGACGGTGGAAGATGGAGTCATCTGGAGATCCTCCAGGAACGGAGAAGAAAAGCAGATCGTGGTACCGACTCGACTCCGGAGAACGGTACTCAAGCTCGCCCATGATCATCCTGGTGCGGGACACATGGGGGTGCGACGCACCTTGGCAAGGATAACCGCGCACTACTACTGGTTTGACGTCAAGAAGGATGTCAGAAGCTGGATCGGGAACTGCCTGGTCTGTGCAAAGAGCAAGATCCACCGGGCGAAGCAGCAAGAGGGAATCGGAACCGTACCTGTTTTGGGACAACCGGGGACGCAGTGGGGTGCCGACATACTAGGTCCTCTGCCGAGAACGGATCGCGGCAACAGGTATGTCCTCGTAGTGACGGACCTATTCACCAAGTGGGTCGAGCTGTTTGCTCTGAAGGATGTAACTGCAAGGACGGTCGCAAGGAAGGTGTCAAAGGTGTTCAGACGTTTCCCAAACAGTCGAGAGATCCTGACGGACCAAGGGAAGAACTTTGAGTGCGACCTGATGCGGTCCCTGTGCGAACTGCTGCAGATAAACAAGCTGCGCACGACTGCGTATCACCCGCAGGGGAATGGCCAGACGGAGCGCTACAACGCGACCCTGTGCGACCTGCTCCGGTCGTACGCGGAGACGAAGGAGTGGGACGAGATGTTGCCATGGGCGGCATCGGCGTTCAACACATCAGTGCACACCAGTACGGGGTATGCACCGCATGAGCTGGTGTACGGAAGCACGCCAGCGGGAGCCGTAGTGCACGAAGTGCAAGGTGCTTCTGTACCAGACGTCGTGAAGACGTATGCTGAGTACGACAAGGACTTGCGCTCGGGCGTCCAGAAGAAGACGAAGGAGGCGCTGGAAAACATCAAGAAGGGGGTGCGTGGTCGAACGGAAGAGCCGAGGGGAGACGGATTCGCTGAAGGAAGTTTCGTAATGATGAAGAAACAACGACGCAGGCAAAAGCTACAACCTCTCTGGGAGGGACCATATGAGGTACTGAGAAGAGAACGCCCGGACTACATCATCCTACGGAGAGGCGCGCAGTACAGAGTCCATGGGGCACATCTGAAGGGCTGGAAAGGAGACTATACGGGTGACCCTGAAGATGAACCAGACACGGATGAAGAGCCGGGGTCGATCTCCGCTGGAGAGGGTGAAGTGATCTTCGGAGAGAGTGAGGCGGAAGACGTCGACGAGCGAAGTGTCGCCGAGGAGACGCAGGATCCGGCCGAAGCAGATACTGGATACTCAGCGCCGGACAAGATGGAGGAACCGGAGGACGAGCATGATAGCCTAGGATTTCTTCCAAAGACGAGTCGCTTTGGTCGAAAGGTGACACGCAATAGGCGTTACGTGTGAGTGTATGTGTCCCAGCGCTCCTGTCAATTGTTTTAAGGATAGGGGGATGTAAGGAGCGCGAAGGATACCAGTGACGTCACAGTGTGCCACATATACGGTCGGGTAGACTTACCTTGAAAAGGGGACGCGGAGTGAGCGGGAGTCGCGTCGGCGCGCGGGAGGTGTTCGCTGGTGTTGTGCAGCATGTAGTGATTAATACAGAAATACGTTTCCAAACTCTTATCACTATACACTATACGACCATACAATACACAGTTGCCGCTGGCAGAGTAACCGATGCGAAGTTCTTGACCTAGGGAGTGGGGATCAACGCACCTACAACACGCACGTCGATGCTCGACACGTACACTATATTGAAGTTGCGTGGTAGGTGACACTGACGACATAATACACCATGCAGCTAAGCCACCCGAATTATGGAGCAGCTCTTAAAAATGCTTATCATCAATCACCAATGTCCCATCTTACGTACATGCCTTTTGAAAGCTAAGCCAAACAACATCTCAGAGTCTCAGACTTATACATCTTTCGGTGCTGAAATACCGCATAAAACCGTAAAAATAAAACCGTCAATGCAAACCATGTCACAAGAATACCACCACGATAAAGAATGCGAACAATTTCTAATCACCCGTATAGCTTTCCACCAAAATACATGGGTGGCTAGGTGCAAAGTTTAGTTTGTCAGGGGGCAAAGTCAGTAATACCGCAGCTCTGACATCTCAACATCGTCCATCGCCGCCTCCCTTCTGGCAAGACACAAGTCGTCCCATCCACATTTCCATAACCCACTAATCAGTCTTGGTGCTCTCACCCTCCCTAGTCCCTCGACCACCTGTGTCCGCGGGCCGCGACTAACCCACGTACAGTACAGGGTGTGCACCGTCCCTTCCCACTCCCTCACCCACCTGGGGTACAGGGTGTGGCACTGTGCACCGTCCCTTCCCACTCCCTCACCCACCTGGGGTACAGGGTGTGGCAGTGTGCACCGTCCCTTCCCACTCCCTTACCCACCTGGGGTACAGGGTGTGGCACTGTGCACCGTCCCTTCCCACTCCCTTACCCACCTGGGGTACAGGGTGTGGCACTGTGCACCGTCCCTTCCAACTCCCTTACCCACCTGGGGTACAGGGTGTGGCACTGTGCACCGTCCCTTCCCAATCCCTCACCCACCTGGGGTACAGTGTGTGCACCGTCTCCACGTGGCGGCGCATGTGGTGCGGGTAGCCGAACTCCTTGCCGCAGATGAAGCACGGGAAGCTCCGCCGCTCCAGCTGCGGCCCCTGCAGGCCGAGCTGCTGGGGCGCCGCCGGCCGCGGGGTGCCCGGCGCCGCCCCCAGTGCCGACAGTGTCACCCCAGAGGGCAGCGTGATGCCCGTGCCCGCCTGCTGGTCGGCGGCGGCCAGCAGACGCACTGGACGCGCACAGGGTCAGGTCAGAGATCAACGGGCGACGAAAAGCAGCATGAGAGGTCAAAGTGGGGCGGTCACTCAGAGCTTGACTCAATGGGACTGGACACAAGTACGTTATAACTTGACGAAGTCAGAAAAGCCCAGCAGTAACAAATGATATGAAACCATCCAACAATGCGGCAAAACACGAAGCTCAAACATCGATGCGTACAATCAACAACAAACATCAAAACAGGCGGCAAAGGACAGTGCTAGAAGAATCTACGTTCTACGAAAGCAACTGAAGGAAGCAAAGATGTAAAAGCGACTGTATCCTTCGAAGATATAAATGAGTGGCGTGGTACATACCTTGCAACACAGAAGAGACAGATGACGCCATGGGACCAAACGACATTGGTGTAATCGTGACATCGTTCTGAGGGACGTTAGTGAAACCGGGACAGAGCTGAGTCCCCCCTCACAGCTGACAGCTGTTCTGGAACCATACATTGTTGACTGGAAGATGGACTTATGAATCACACGTTGTCGAGCGTATCTGGTCTCAGTGACTGAGCCAATCTCTTCAAGCCACTCAGCGAAGAAAACAAGGGACAAAACTCTCAGCATCTGTATTTGCGCACTTCAGAAAGACTTCCACCAAAGCGCCTACACGGCCCAGGCCACTACACCTAGCGTCACCAATCAGGCGGCATGTGCGCGGATCGAAGGGCAAGGACACCGGAGGCAGGATCCCCTCAGGTTCGCCATTTGATCATCCGCGCTGGGAACATTACAATCGAACGGCTCCCGCAACACGGAATTGGGTTTTCGTATGCTTGTAAAGATACCATTTTAAATGGAAGACGCAGCTTTCAAAATGTTTGCCAAAACCGTGGTCCTTGTCTCGCGATGCAAATGTCAAGAGCATCAGATGTTTCAAAGTGAGTTCCGCGGCATGAATAAGCAGAGGGTCAGAACTGCGAGGGGCGAACTCCTGCTCCGGTACCCGTTCCCTCGATCCGGGCACGCCACCGGCCTGCGCCTGCCCCCAGCTCTCTGGAAGACGTCACTCACTACCGTTCACAGGTCCCGCAACAAACATAGGCCCGCAGGCCCCAGGTCCCGCAACACATCAGAGGTATCGGGCGCCATCGACTTCGCTACACGCCATTCTAGGACTTCTTAGTCAGCTAACCTACAACGCATCATCACACCGTTTGACTACCCGCTCGAGCGACATCAAACACATCGTGCACCCTCGCGGCAGTGCGATTCGACACGTGGCTGAACGTGTGCCACGTGCCACGCGGCGGCCAAACGGAACACAACGGATGAGTATACTGGACTGCCGCCACTGAGCGTGCAGCGTTGTACGACACTTGCAGGGCGCCGGAGCGCGTGAGCACGGCTGGTAACTTCAGTTTAACACGGAGGAAAGACACGCAGACACACATGACAAACATTCATACACCTGTACCAGTAGCAATGAGGCAAGCGTTTCGGTCGAGACTGTCTCTCGGGTTATCAACCCGAACCGCAGGCGGGGGCTGCGGGGGTAAATATGCTACATGTGGGTACGTCAATCACTACTCGGTAACTGCGCATGGAGGTATTTCGACAGGATCCGATTCCTGGTAAACATAATACCAACTTAAGTAAAATGAACATAAAAATACAAGCTGTTTGCTCAAACGGCCAAAGTGGTAATAACGAGGTCATCTTGCGGCTTTGCAGTCCGGTGAATTGAGCTGCAGATTTGTCACACGACACGAACAACTGTACTCGGCTACAGACTCAGTAGAATATAGCAGCCACGCTGCACGACCCAGCAAGGACAGCACCAGGGCAAATCACACCACCCGACAACCCGACAAACGAGGAGGCGCGTGATAAGGCACATACAAAACCTAGCTGGTTAGACCCGTACACGCTGAGGGGAAGGGAACGACAATCACGACGTCAGTCCCCTACAAAAATAAATACCTATCTGCTTGTAGATTCACTTTCGCCTTCGTTTAGCGACAAAGAACGCATGACTACAAATATACGTACTTTTACCTACTACTCCACAGAGTCTCTGCATTGCATACAACTCGACAAGGACGCTCTAAAACGCAAAAGCGCGAGCAGCACCACAGAAGCGTTTGCACCTTCCTTGACTGTGCGTTGCCGCGAATCTCCCCTCGTGAGGCCTTCGCGAGTCTCCCTCGCCCGAGCAGACGGCGACCCGCCTCTCTCCCAGCTCCGCCCGTTGGTCAGGCTTGCCGCGCGACTCTCAGTTCCGCCTACCCGCTGTCCTCCTCATCCAGGGCCACAGCGGCCGGCGGCGGCGGCCGCGAGCTCATGAAGCCGCCGCGGGGCTCGCTGGTCGTTACGCCCACCAGCATCTTGGCGCCGTCGCCGTGCGTGGGCGGGGGCGGGGGCGGTGGCGGCGGGCGCGCCAGCTGCGGGCCGTCCAGTGGCGGCTCGGGCCACAGCGAGACGGGCGAGCCGGCCGGCGGCGGTCCGTAGATGCCCGGCGGCCCCGCCAGTCGCCAGCTACGGCGGTGGTACTTGCTCTTGTGCACCTGCAGCGCGTACTTGTTCTTGCAGACCTTGCCACAGTCGGCGCAGGTGACCGGCACCGGGAAGTGCACCTTGCCGATGTGCGCCTTGAGCTTCCCGTAGTTGCTGGACAGGTGGGGGCAATAGGGACAAATCAGCATCCGACCTAGAACAGAGGGTTGGCGTGGACGCGTCAGTCGTCGCTCCAGCTGCAGCTGCCTCCGCCCGGCGGTGGCCGTCTGTGGAAAGGTTCTCGCTACTGGTCAGGACTGCGGACCATGCTCCAACAACCGTGCCTCATCTTGCCAGTGGCCGTCTGTGGAAAGGATCTCTCAACTGGTCATGACTCAAGACCGAGCTCCAGAATTGCTGACCATCCCTAGCAAGCCCGAGCCATCCCTAACAGCCTCATACCAACCCTCACCGACATTGGACTACGCCCTGGTGAACCTCAGCTATTCTGGCCGACCTACGAACGACCCTGGCCGACCTCTGGCTATCCCCGACCCAGTTCCGCCCATCCCTGGCCGTCCAAAACAGGTCTGCTTCTTTCCATCCCAGGAGCCGCTCTTTGACGCAGAAACCGCTTCCTTAAAAGGCATTGTCAATAGAAGGGACAAACCGTTACGCGAAGGATCAAATCAGATCAGGCAAACCCAATCCCCCCTGATTTCCACGGCAAAACGTCCCTCGCTACCCCGAGGTGTGTAGCAGATAAGTCACTTTCCAGAGGCACCGCAAGAGGCCAGCTTACTCCTTGCAGCGTGTATTCGACAGTCGCAGCAAACCCATGGGCAGCACTGGTGGATCGCCTTAATATCGTAGCGGACCGATCGCACGTCGGACCCCTAAAGCAGTACTCGGAAAGGCGAATGGCAGTTGGGTTCGGGAGCGTCCACGGCGCTCCCTCGCGCAGTCCACCACCGGTTATAAGCACACTTCACATGGCAGGTGCAGCACACACTCGTCCAAAAGAGACGCGCCAAACAACTCACAGCCCAGGTAACGTTCACGTTTCATGGTGGAAATCGTTAAAAACCGACTATGCTAGCTCGCCAGCCTGGCGGCACGCACCACAAGACCCCTGAAAGATGAAAGCTAAGTGTGCGTTAAAAAAAGACGCGCCCCTCTACATTGTTAGAACCTTGGTAACTGTGCGCTACGACTTGTAAATGGTAACCAGTGGGTCTGGTAAGGTAACACGGGTACAAACACTTCCCTCATCGGCTCAATTGAAAGCCGGTGAAAGTCTCAACTGACAGCCACAGGGTATTCACGGGGTCTCTGCGACCCCGCTGAGCCGACTTAACACGGGAACAAATCTCCCGCTAATCGCTACAAAACGTCTACTGTTACAGACCACTCCGTACGCTAAGGCGATACTATTCTCCCCACGAAAGACACCACTGTCGAATCCCTCCCCATCCCGGTACAAAAGAACAATCCATGTCTCACCATGACCCCACCATCAGCCTCCAGTCCTGAGCATACGACATCAACCACCAATCACCGCTAGCACGGCGGCTACGTCATGTACCGTAACGTCACCGCGCGCAGCGTCCGTACGTCCCACAGCCAAGGCCCGGGCGTCTCTCCGACGTCCCGTCGAGAGAGACCATCCTGAGCAGCCGAAAGCCCCGAGCGCGCCGACTCCGGCGTCCGTCCACCGCCGCGCGATTTCACAGACCATCTCCTTGAGCAGATTCCCTATCACTTGTCGTCGAAATCATCGTCACCAACGTCATCGTCATCGGATCACCACTCCTTCACCACTGATTAGTGACTGTACCCTCGCTTTCTTGTGCGTGAGCTTTTCGTCCTTTTAACAATCTTGAATCTTGTAACCGTATGCTGGTGTTTTACAGCGACAAAAGGTTGTTATTTCTTTTTCACAGCCACAGTCGAAATGATACAAAAGGCGTCTTTTGGTAGGGGCTATTGCTCTCCCCTCCCCGAAACCCCACACTACACTGCGCGGTCTTATCCATACTTCAGCCACCTTTCCACAAGACCGCATTCTCCCAGCCTCCCAATTTTCCCCCTGCATACTGTGCGCCCCACAGCTTTCCCTCGTCTTTTTCTTCCTCGTCATCACTTTCTGCACAAGCCAGTTCTCAGCTTCTCTTTCTTATCCCTCAGATTACTCTCAGCTTTCCAGCCTATACGAGAGGCCTTTTAACTCTCTGATGGGCGTCGCCTCGCGCTCATTCCCTCCGCCGCCGTTCACGCGTTGCCCTCGCCCCTCCTTGTCTCGGTTGATCTCGCGGTGTGACCCAGCGAGTGGCGGGCCGGCGGCGGCGGCGGCGGCTCGCCGTCCCCGCCGTGTGAGGCGCGCTGCCGGTGCACGCGACTGCGGTGGACGCGCAGCACGCCCTGGTTGGCGCACAGTTTGCCGCACAGCCGACACTGCACCGGCACCGGAAAGTGGACGCGCGCCACGTGGTCCTTGATGGTGGACTTGCTGGAGAAGACGGCCGGGCAGTGCGGGCAGCGCTGCAGCACGGCGTGCGAGAGCGGCGCCGAGGCGGCGGCGGCGACGGCTACTGACAGCAGGCCGCGACCTCCACCTGCCAACAGACAGAGAGACGGCCTGCTGTCAGCGCCACGCACCGCACCCGGCCGCCGGCTCAGCACCACTGCACTGCATCGGCACCACTGTCTATCCCCTATCCCGGACTACCGAACCTATCGCCTCAGCACCCTACCGACCGACTGCCTCAGTCAGCATCCTTCCGATGGCGATTCGGCCGCACCTCAGCGACCACTGCCTGAAAAGCAGTCCCACTCCTTCCTATACCACACATCCTATTGTCTCCCGTGTCAGCGCCCATTGCCTGTAACCCTCAAATGCCCATTCAGAGACTGATTGCATATAGCAGGTAGCTAATACCATTTGACACAGTTTTCGTTGGCATGTGAAAGTCAGCAATGCCAACATTATCAATTGCAAGAACCGTCAGCCAGTTTCCAGCTCTTTTGTTACTTTCAGCAACATGTTCCGTCCCCAAAACATACTGAATTTGAGCACAGCACAGCACCCTGCACTGCAGAGGGACACAGCTGTGATAAATTCCAGTCATTTCACTGAGCAGCATGCCAGTGCCATGATTGGGCTCATGCCTTAACCCGCGCCCTGCTGGGGGGGGGGTGTTTGAACACCCCCCTTGTGGTTTTTCGCGAATATCTCAAAAACGGCGGCGCGGAGCGCCGCCGTTTTTGGTACACCTTATCATACATCAATTCTACACATGTTGTGAAAATTTCAGACCAAGGTCATTCAAGGTCAGGTCACCAGGTCACTTGAAGTGACCTCACCTCATAACAACTTTCAATGTCTGTCATAGCTACACCGAGTGACCGATCGCTTTGAAACATTCAGCGATTGCTAAGAGCAATAGCATGTACAAAATGTATATCTCAGAATTTTGATATCGATGACCTAAGGTCAGGTCAATTTTGCGAACTCCCCATTATAAGTCAATGGGAGAAAATTGAAATGCGCCTCTTTTGGATGAAAGACATTATAAACACTCCCAAACACCGAATTACAAGTGGTTTAGACACACTGAACTTGAAAATGGTGTCCGTGACTCTTGTTTATGCCCTGAGGTCATCTTAGGTCACGAATGGTATCTAACAGTTTTTCGCAAATAACTTTTGATAGAGGCATGCTAGAGCGATGAAAACGCCTTAAATGTGTTCAGCTCGACGATACGGATCGACTGATATGCAACATGACCCTTTCCGGTCAGGTCATGACCTTGACCTTAGGTCAAATTTTCAAGTTGACCTTTCAAGGTCAAGTCATACTTCATTCGATGCGTCTTGACGAGAGGAACACGATGCCGGTAAAAGTAAGTTCGTACAAGGCTTGGGTCAAAAGTTATTGCAGAAAAACTGTTTTCGAAAAATTCGGCTATTTTTGCAGTTTTTGCCCCCTGCAGGCAAAACCGTTGACGTTAGGTAAAATCTGAGAGAATTACTCAGAAAAGGCGTTAATAGGGCTATCGAATGCGCTTTTCCGCGGCGCTGTAGCTCTATTGGTTCCCGAGTTATGCGTTGGCTTCTTGGAAATTTTCGACATTCGACCTGGAAATCGGCGAAATTTTGCCTTCAATGACCTCTGGTGACCTGACCTTTGACCTGACCAAAAAATTGACCGAAGTGATTTCGTCATTATTTTTTACGCTCTTTCGAACGCCGCCTTCCGCGTATCGCTACGTGGCCCAGGAGCCGAGTTACAAGGGGGGGGGGGTGTTCAAACACCCCCCCCCCCCCCAGCAGGGCGTGGAAATCCAGGACCCCCAGCAGGGCGCGGGTTAACATAATGCCAAAACTGCAACAAAACATAACGCAATCTTATTCCCATCCCTGGCAAGTCGTGAGCGCTTATAGTGGCGTTAGTCCTTGGAGAAACGACCAGCGAAAGGTTTCCACACATGGATGGAGAAGAGCGATCTCTATGGCCCAACAGTTGTGCTCTATTGGTCGATCTACCGTCATAATTGTCAAGCCCGACCAAAACGACCGGCGTGTTGAGCTCTACGAGTAATACTTCAGCATTCACAACCAAACCACAAACGCACATCAAGCGATTGTTCATGTAGAACGCAGCCGCCGCCGCACGGCCTTGGAAAGATCTATCAGCGCTGATCACCGCTGTGAAAGTTCGGTCGCCCGTCGCCCGGTCTGGCCGCGCGCTCGGGAGTCGGGAGGCGACCGGCGCACACAGCCGCTATCTGGGTTCGGAAGTGGCCAATACCCTAATTTTCGACAAATTTTAAAGTGTGATTTTCTCACATTTTCTGGTCGTAAATTGATCAGACTGTATAAAATATCATCCAGAAAAAATATTACTCATTCTGGCACATATTGGTGGGCTCCCAAAGTACACCGTTTTGTTTTGCTCCGTGAGGTCGAACTTGTGCTGCGATTTTCATGTAAATGTTGACGAGTCTCCTGTCATATTCTTTGCTTGAACATGCGTAAGTAAGATATCAGCTGAAAGGGGAAAATGTGCGGAATCCATTGGTAACAAAAGTGCATCTAAAAAACTTCCCACTCAGTTATTGTAAGCTAATTGTTGCACACTTGCACAAAGCAGAAGGGCTTGAGGATTTCAATATTTACATAGGCCTACCAAAAAACGCACAGCGTGCTTCACAT